GCCATGTGTTTCTACAGTCGAGCAGTTCTAATAGAATATTGTTTTTCCTTCAGCTTTGTTGTAGTTGTCCCTAAAGCCCATCGTACACGTTCTTTCTCAAGGCGCTGAAATGGTGGAAAAGTAATGGAAAGCAAAACGTATGAAGGGTAAATGCAGTGGGATGACTGTGGAACATGGAGGATCTTGTCTTCTTACATTTCCTGAAAAGCGGGAGCTACTGTGGTGTGTTTTCTGTTCTCTTGTGAAGGGCGTTCTGGCTCTTTTCAGTGAGTCAAATATATTTGCTGTGTTCACAAAGAAGAACCGACTCTTTCAGCCCCCAAACGACTCTTGATTAGGTGTCAGTTTCCCTCAAAATGAGCCAGGATAGTAATATTATTATATTATGTATCACTTAATTTTCAATAAATCCTTAATCTACCTTCAAAAATTCCGTATGGTGGTTATTAAAAAGATAAACAAACAAAAACAACTAGAACAAAGGCAGGTCAAAAATCAAATACGAGTCAAAAAACAAGTCAAAAATCGAAAGAATTAGCAGACAAGCATGAAAAAGCAGCCAAACCTTGCTATAATAGGGGGAAGAGGAATGTGTACATAATATGTACCCATTTATTTTGTCTTTATTTCCAAAAAACGGCTCTTCAATGCGAATCGGCTCCCAGCGTTCACCTAAAAGATCCGATTCAAAGAGCCGAGTCGTTCGCCAACGACACACCATTACTTCACGTCAACGACAGAGAGACAGAAGCAGGTAAGGAAAAGTCGCCACACTGATTTGTTTTCACGAGAATTTTGAATTTTTCATGTATGAATCTTAAAGCACATCGTTTCCACGACGTTTAACTGAACGACTGAATGACTTCCCGCAGTTTAATGTAACCGTGTAGCGCATTAGTAGCCCACTGTCGTATGATGGTGTTACATTTACATGATGCAGAGTTCTCTACGTGCTGAATGACCCGCTTCGTGTGAATTTCACTTTTAAGTACTAATTCGAACCTTTTTAATCGAAAGGGGTGATTTTGCTTTAGTTCAATTGTGAAAAACAGACAATTCAGGAAGTGTTTACAGTTTCACTTTGACATCCTGAGCTCCCTTTTGGCGGTAACCCACCGAATAATCCTACTCGCTGTTGTAGATTACACTGGATTACACTCCTGTTCATATACATACATCATCTGGTGCCTGAATGCAACTGCTGCACCGTTTAAGGTGGACCTGCTAAGTTGGAATAAGAAGCTGACAGATAGGAAGCGACTTCAGCGTCACGGTTGCTTTCCTTTCGTCAGGGTTAGAAAGCAATATTGATATGTGTCTGTACTGTTCATTTCTGTTTTTACTATTTCGTTCAATAAAAAATAGATTTACTTTAGTTGTTTAGTATGATTCTTATTAAAAGAGAAGAGACAGAATACTATGCCATTGTTAACCTACAAAAAGCATCCAAAATAGTTTTAACTGAAAGAAAATACATTCATACACTATAATGTGTAATCTTAATTATTATTTTTTAGTCCATGCTGCCCACTACTAAGAACCTGTCTTGTGTTTAAACTGAATAACCAGCTTATGTTCTCATCTACAACTAGGCTGAGCAGCTAGCTAACAGGCTAAAATACAGCAAACACAACAACACAACTCCATCATTAATATCACTGACTTGAATTAAAGTACTTATTATATGGTTTACTGTGAAGAAAACACTGAAGAATGTTTTTTAAACGGTTTTCACACATCAAATGTCCATGTTTCAGTCAGAAGTTAGATCCAAGCTGAATCTAGTAAATAGTGTGATGTGTAAGTCTTAAAATTCTAGCTTCTACGGCCAAATAGTGCACTCTTTATCAGAGGTGGCAGAAATGCAAAGTCTCTTACTTAAGTAAAAGTACTAGTACTCAAGTAAAAAAAAATACTCAAGTAAAAGTTGAAGTGCAACTTAGATTTTTTACTCCAGTAGAAGTGTAAAAGTACACGCTTATAAATGCACTTTAAAGCAAAAAACAGCATTTCTTTTAAAATCTCTAATTCAATTTTTTTTTTTAAACAGGATATTTTTCTACTGAGAGTTAGAGATACACATCCATCAATCTGAGTGTACATAATGGTTTATACTAGAACTACATGCATCATCCACCATAATCCACTCATCTAGGGCACCCAAACACGTTTACATGTTTGATTTCCTTTATGAGAATTGGATAGATATTGGATGGATATTGTTGGAATCTCTACTAAGAAATGAACTGTCAATTTTTATGTCAGTGGTCAATACTGAACACCAGATCGAATAAGTTCAAGTTTAAGAGGCTTTATTGTCATTTCAGCTGTATACAAGTACACAGTGAAACAAAACAGCATTCCTCCAGGAATACTCAGTGCAGACAACAGAGTGCAATATATATGAAAAAAAGTACAATAAACATAAAACAGGACACAGACAGTACACGGTACTGAGAGTATGTGGAGCTATGCAAAAGGAGGGTGTAACATACTATGACATAGCTGAATAACAGATAGCCTAGCATATATGAGCATATCAGTCACAGAGGTAGCAACCAGAAAATGCAAATCAGATAAATGAATTATATTGAGTAAAGTATTTTAGTGTAAAATGCAATAATTATATTTAAATAAAGTGGCACAGACATAATCTGGAAATGCAAGAAGTGGGGAGAGAAATGGTGTCATTTGTTATGTATGTATGTGTGTGTGTGTGTGTGTGTGTGTCCGTCAGTTCAGTCCGTGGGAGTTGAGGAATCTGATTGCTTGTAGAAAGATAAATCCTTTAAGTAAGGCCATGACTGGAATGGCACTTGTTTTCAGACCTTACACACACACACACACACAACGTGCTAATGTCCTGCAATGTTATTACATCAAGTTTTAGTTTGTTCCTAACAGCAGTGCAGTCATCACCCTTAATATTTCAACACCCACCCCCTGATACAATAGCAAGAAAGCTGGATTTACACAAACAACACTGTAGCACCTTCACTGTAAAGCATGCGTCGACTCAGCAAAGATACAACTTCTGTGCAGCGAGGAAGAGTGAACTAGTTTAAAATAGGACAGCTGAGTTATACGAAGTTAAACCTACAAAGTTAAAAATTTACATGATGTGCAAAGATGAGGAAAAACAACACAGCAATCTTAAACACCTAAACCTGTTCATACTAGGCTAAAGCATACTGCCACAGCAGACGTAAAACATGTGTATGGTCTATTTATGTCTTACCTGTAATGACGTCCATCAAGGTGTCTGAACGTAACTGCTACATCATTTAAGGTGGAACGGGAGATGAAGCTTCAGCTTCATCTAATCTCTATCCACTATACAAGTCTCAGTTACAGTCCTGGGGCTGTATTACTTGAGATGGGTCTGCCTACATCACTGCTGATATGCATTTGGGTGTGATATTTGTAGTTTGAGTGTTCTTGTGTTGTGGGTTTATTCATTAACTCTCAGTAACCAACCCAAAACTCTACCAGCCCACCAGGAATTCTCTCGATTCTCCTAATAACCCACTCCGAGATTGAGTAAGGCCATGGATGTAGGTTTTTTCTCGATTCATTGTCCATATTAAATGTTGATTCGATGTTGTCACTTTCTACTTTCTTTCTGTTGTCTGTTCTCACTGCTGGGCTCTGGAAGCCATGAAAGTAGCCAATCACAGGTTCACTTTGCTCCCCCTTCCCCCTTTTCCACACCCAATTGGATTCTGATATGCACATTTGCCTGATTATATATTTACATGGATGTGGCTGAATCCCACATGTCTATTTTTTAGTGATATTATGCACTATTGGGGTGCAGGATCCAGTATTTAAATTCCAACATAGTGCACTATGTAGGGAGTAGGGAGCCAATTGAGATTCGGATCCAACATGAGAAAAGGGGCACCACTAGGTATAATATAGACTCTCAGTGCTACTTTAGTGACCAAAAGGTACTGGTTTTCAATGGTTTTGCATTATACAGTGCTATGTCATTGCATGTTCATTATTATATAACAAAAAATCAAACAGTTCATGAAATTACCACAATATACAGTTCTTCTCCATGGATGCTTGGCAATGATACCATACGCTAAAGGAACTACAATTCTTGGCGGAATCCTTGTCAATTATTATTAATAATAAATTATTTTCTGAAAAATTATCGTATTTTTTTTGGCTGCCGTTTTGTAAAAGAGTAAGCCACTCGGGGTCATGCGTTGCTGTGATTTTATCAGGGGGAAGAGACTAGAACACCCTTCTCCATAATAAAATCACAGTAACGCACATTGGTTTGTTGCTTTATTAGGGCCTGTATGATTCTTTTTAGTCAGGTCCTCAAGTTCACAAACACTGTTTAGTTCAACATTGTAGTAAGTTATTACTTTGTAGATGCTGTGATTAGTGCTTAGCCATTAGCATTTCGTTTACATGTTGGTAACAAGACATATAATTTTTCATGTATAATATGCAAGGAATAGTAATTAAATTATAAGTTAAAAGAAAATACTTCATGATCAGAGATTAAAAACACAAAAAATGCATACCTGTGGGCTGTATTATTAGGTAATGAGTTGCCAGATTATAAGGTATATAGTAAAAGGTATTATAAGCTAGTAGCATGTTGCACCACTTTTAGCTTTCAGAGCAGTGTACATTTCGCCTGGGCATGGATTCTAAAATGGCAGATAAAATGGCACCTTTGTTTTTTAATAACTTTTTTTGTAAATGAAATGGGTGAGAGTGAAGAACCATTTTAATACTGAAGTCAATGTGCGAGATTCCCATCATTACTAAAGAACAAGAAAAAACTAGAAGCCAATGCAAAAGTGTCACCTATTTTTTTGTTGAAGATAGAGTCTTAGTTAATTTTCACATTCACATTATTGTTATAATTATTTCATTTTCATAAGAAGCAGTTGAATATTCAATATTCACAGTATTCATAGCATAACATTTTTTAGTAGACTAAACGGACACAATTAAACTTTTTTGTCATGCAGGTTGTTTCCATCACTCAGAGCTGAAGATTGTGCTGCTGGACATTGAGAGTGAAGGGAAGGAGCTCCAGTGGCTGGTTGAGAAATGTGGGAACAGGTATCATGTTCTCAACAATGAGAACAGGAGTGATGACACTCAGGTCACAGAGCTGCTGGAGAACATAAAGTGACAACATGCAGTGGACACTATTTTGAAAGATTTTACAGGGGGTTTGAGAGAGGAGGATCACTGAAAAAGACATAAGTGAGGAATGTGCAGACAGAAGACTTTACATAAAAAATGAGTAAGTTTTTTCATGTTATTTCAAGTTTAAATACATTTTGTATTTTGCAGTCTGTTTCAGAATGTGAGTGCAACAGGTGACAGCCTGTGCACATGCATTTCTTGAATCTAATTTGGAGCAGTTTCTGAAATATTCAAACCCTTCTGGCACCAAAAACCATGCCATGGTCAGAATGACAGATCACATTTTTAGATCACATCACACATTTACTGTTACTCTTTATCAGTATGACAAACTGAGTGCAAGCAGAGTCTCCAGCAGGTCTGGGTATCGCAGCGTAATTAAAAAGCAAGAACCAGACAGAAGCACAGGCATGAGGGCTTCCTGAGGTGTCAGTACCCTTCCACTTTACCGTCAACAAACTTCAGTGAGTGTCTCAGAGTGGCAGATGACTGCACGTCAGTTTACCTTAATTCTCTATGTCCGTTAACCTCCAGATCCAACAGTGAAATGCATTACCAAAGACTGGAATACACAAGTAGGTTTTTAGCTTAAAAACTGAGACTGTGCCTGCATCCCAGTCCCTCACTGGAAGGTTATTCCGCAGCTGGGGGCTTTGCAGGAAAAAGCTCTTTCTCCTGCTGAAATTTTGAAAATTCTAGGTACTCATTAGAAAGCCAGCATCCTGTGATCTAAGAAGGCACTACATAATAGATGATGAATTCACTTAGATGTTATGGAGCAAAGAGAATCTAGACCTTTGTGAGATTGGACTATGGTAGAGGAGAAAGGATGGGAAGGGGTGTGTGATGATTAAGGATAGAGTGGGATAAATGAGAAAGGATATGATGAAGGGGAGGGACAAATTAGTGAGGGGTAGAATGAATGTAGAGGGGTGGAATTAATAAATAGGCTGGAATGATGAGCATGATGGATGAAGTGGGGCTGAAGATGAGAAAGGAAGAACATCAGAAGAGAAACACTATTGTTCACAATAGGATATTAATCAGCATCTGTATTCATATTAGAAACATCCACATACAGGAAATGGAAGGAATGGAAACGGAAATATAGAAATGGAAACTTATGGGAAGTTAGAGGAGTCAGTGTTGATAGGGACAGCAATGAGGTGGGGGATTAGCGTCAATTGTGCAGGAAGTGAAGGATCTTGGAAGTTCTGCAGGCCAGAAGTGACTGGAGCAGGCATGACAAGTTGGGTGTGTACTCATACATGTGTGCAATCACCAAGACAAATTCCTTGTCTGTGGCGAGATCAAATATGCCAGCTGAGGAGTTGGAAGACTTGGAATGGGGTGGTAGGATGGTGGAAGAGAGGATGGGATGGATGTAAGGGAAAGAAGATGGGAAGGGGTGTGTGATGATTAAGTATAGAGTGGGATGAATGGGAAGGGATGTGATGAAGGAGAGGGATTGGATAAATGAATCTATGTAGAAAGAAGGTAGAAGGATAGAATTTATAAGGAAAGTCTGGAGTGAAGAGAGGGAGGGATGAAGTGGGGCTGAGGATGAGAAAGGAGAACATCAGAAGAGAGACACTGTTGTTCAGAATAGAATACTAATCAGGCGCCGTATTACAGAAACTTCATATCTTTTTTTTTTTTTTACTTAAGATCTCACGGGTCAAGATAAGATTTTTCACAAATTCATATTACAGAAGCAAATCTTTTCTTAATTTAAGAATCTTACAGCATCTTTTCTTATCTCAAGTTAGGAAATCTTAACTTACTCGATCAGTCAACAATCAACTGTCATGTCTGTTGCCTATCAACCGACCATACGCGCATAGCTGAAACGTAAACACGTAATCAAATTAATCAAGTTAGTTAGTCAGACAGCTAACGTTAGCTACCATTTCTGATTTAAAAAGGTCAAACAAAACTAAAGCGCGATAAACATAAAGAATATTGTGTCAGCGCTTCGTGCTGTTTATCAGAGCGTCACTTCTCTGCAGTTTCAGTTTCAGTTTCCTAAACACTTTAGCCGAGCGCACTAACGTTATTCCTCCTAAAAAACAGATACACATTCAGCTCCGTCTCCTCATTATTCACCACCATCACTGTAATATTTTATCTGATGTGTTGTCATCAACATTAACAGACGAAGGTAATAAGAGGGGACAGTGGAGATTGTGTCTGCAGCGTCTGGGGTTTTAAAAAGCTGCTAGGAAAAAAACCTCACCAGTCAAAGCAGCATTTTCAGTGTAGTTAAATGTAGCATCATTATGCTGGTTATAGTGAACTGTGCTGCCTGTCACTGCATAAAACAATAGAAACAGACAGTTAAAACAAAAGTTAAGACAGCTCTTTATCTTAAAGTTAGGATAGAATTTAAGAACTTCTGTCTAGTTGGGATGTTTCTGTAATAATGTTTTCTTATCTGGAGTAAGTTGTCATGGTGACTAAGCAGATAGGATAAGATTTCAGACTTGAGAAGTTTCTGTAATATGACCCCAGCATCTGTATTCGTTTTAGAAATGGAAACTTATATGAAGTTAGATTGAGAGGAGGAGCTTCAAGCCTGGTCCTTCTTCCAAATTTTCACCTCCATGCTCTGTCAAGGTGGCTGGGTTTGGTAGAGTGGGCTGCACACTGCTCATGACTATGGCTGGGGTCTCAGCTGTAGCAGGAAGCTGTGGCTCGCTCTGCTTTTTCTTGTCAGTCCATCCAGCTGTGGGTTTGCTCAGCATCCTCACTGGTGTATGTGTCTGCAGTTTAGGCCCAGAAAAAAGGTTGATGAGAGGCCACATGAGGTCACTCAGCGGTTCCTGCTAATCTGCTTGCTTGTCTTCCTTGTTTTCCCTGGGATATTCCTTCAAATATTTGTGCTAACAAGAAAAAAAGTTAGAGAAATACCCATACCAACAACTGCAGTGTGCTTCTGGGCCTTGCTTAGCTCCCAGCCAGACAGATGCAACCACAAGGGGGCACTGCCTGCATTCGCCATTGCACACTGGCTGAGAAGCTGGTCTCTAGTCATGTATTTTTAACATGTGACCATTTTACTGAACCTTATTCACACCCCTTACAGATTACTACTTACTTCTTTCTTGCTGTAATGCAATAACCTCTAGTATCTTATTCTTAATTTTACTAAATCCTAATATATAAGATCCAAATTACTTGTGGTGTACATTCACATTTAATAGATAAATAAAATGACAACTGATACATATACACTGTGATGTAACAAGAGGACAATACAAATGACTTTGCAGACATAGTGTAGATAATGTCTGGATTCACCAGGGATGTAAGACAGTGCAGCATATGGCATATTGTGACAAAGCTCAGCTTATAGAGTTTAATAAAGAATTTGTCCTCAAACAAAAATCTTAAACGGTTGTAAAGTGTTTATGTTTACATACAACATGTCTTAAACATGTCAGTAGTGAAACTGTAAAAGAAACTCAGACATAGGTGTAAGTTTCAGTCCATTTTAATTCAAATTTACATGCATGGAGTTTAGCGGCCCAAACACTAAGCTCTTCTACTTATCACTAATGCACACAAAGGTATATATACACTGGACAAGCTGTACAAACCATATGGCATCTGTGACATACAGTCCAAGCCTTATAAGGAATGTGGACTCTCCTACAGGCCTACAGGATATGCATGAGACACTGTTTGGCTCCCCAGTACAAAACAGAGCATGGTGACTAAAGGTCTGCTCCCATACAGGAGAGAGTATTGACAATACTTAAAGAGTTTTAAACAGAAAGCATTTCTTTTGACAGCACACACTGCTGTACAGTGTTTCGTTTTGTATGTTGTTTATTTCTGTGAGTTTAGTTAGAAACAGTGGTAGAATTAATTGAATTTCTCATTAGAGATGTGAGCATGTGCACAGTTGAGGGTGATTAAACTTGGATGATAATATGTTAATTTCTTAATATGGGTAAAACCATGGGCATCTTTTTGTGCTTTTTTCTGTTGTCTTATGACATTTTGTGAACGTGCCATATCAAGCATCTTTTTATCAAATGCAGAAAATATTATGGTCTTGAAAAAAACTTGACTTCCCCTTGAGTTTTTTCGTAACTAAGCATTGCCCCCTCTCATAGATGAAACAAACCGTCTCTCAGAGTTGAGGATTGTGCTGCTTGGGTGTTTAGAAGCTGGGAAGAGTTCAGCAGGAAACACCATCCTGGGCAGAGAGGAGTTTGACTCGCAGAGAACTGCTCAGTGTGTGAAGAGACAGAGAGAAGTAGCAGGGAGACACATCACTGTGGTTGAAGCTCCAGGATGGTGGAGTAATAATCTTGTGGAAGAGAGCACTGAGTTTCGTAAGCAGGAGATTGTGCTCAGTGTGTCTCTGTGCCCTCCAGGACCTCATGCCGTACTGTTGGTCATACCTTTGGGCATTCAGTTTACAGAGAATGACAGAACAGCATTGCAGAAACACCTGAAACTCCTTACTGAGAGCGTCTGGAGTCACACTTTAGTCCTGTTCACCTGTGGAGACTGTCTGGGAGACACACCTATAGAGCAGCACATTAAGAGTGAAGGGAGGGCCCTCCAGTGGCTGGTTGAGATATGTGGGAACAGGTATCATGTTCTCAACAATGAGAAAAGGAGTGATCACACTCAGGTCACAGAGCTGCTGGAGAAGATAGAGGAGATGGCGGCAGCAAACAGTGGACGCCATTTTGAAATGGACAGAGAGATTCTGGAGGAGGTGGAAGAGAAGAAGAAAGTGGAGGAAGACAGAGCAAAAGAGAGGATGATGAAGGTGCAGAAACAGAGAAAGGACATTCAAGCAAAAATGGGTAAATGGATTATAACATTTGTTTGTTAATAATACAAATCACGTCTAGAATTTTGACTAGCCATGTGTCTATATAAAAGTTGTATCACAGTAATTACCTAACTTTTTATCATGGTTTAAGATATCATCACAATATTGTATTTAATCTCTCAGGCCCTATGGACCCCTATATGGCCCCACAGTTTAGTATCTCTCTCTTAAGCCTACATAACTTGCATGATTACTAGTAGTTATTCACAGAAATTATTGACAAATGAATCTTTATTAACATATTTAACATCAAGAACAATAGTAAGTCTATGGTTCAAGGAAAAGAACACTATATGCTTAAAGTCAATTTGAACATCATTATGTGACTTTATAACCGTCCACATAATGATGTTAGCTTATCTATAATCATCATATAAACTTTCAGTTTTCAATTAGGATTCAAACCACTACCATAGAACACTGACTTTTACTGAGAGCATATAATACCAGTCTTTTCTTAAACTGTAGATAGCATATTTTAATTTCTGTATTGCAGTTTGCAGTGAACTATTCAACCTAACGTTTCAACCTAAAGTCTAACTCTTAATATTAGTTAAGCTAGTGTCTTAGCTTGTTAGTAGTTAGTTTTTAGTCTACTGAGTAGATTAACAACACTGCTTTCTTGTGTAAGTATTTTTTACTATGGTTGCAGGTCTTTTACTTCATATACACAGCATTTGTGAGTGCAGAGATGTGTATGTATGTGAGAACCTGCATTTGTTCCTGCTCCATGTCAGATGGCGTGTGAGTTTTTAAAATTTTTGATGGAGGAAAAAGTTGTGAGTCTACTCCTCCCTCTGCTGTGCTGTAGCTGTGCTTGCAGTGTTCATTTACCTGCATCTTTAATCCGTTCAGAGGAGGGCCCAAATCCAATTTTAGGCATGTCCAGATTGTTTCCAGACTGATTTTTGATAGTCTGGACAGCAAAAAACCACATGAAATAAGATTTTTTTTTCCCGATTGGATCCAAACTACATTTGGAGGTGGTTTGAAAAGAGATTCCAATCAGATTTCTACAGATGCACCTCAGTCTGGCCACTCAAGTCGGATTTCAAAGTGTCTTGTGTCACTTGCAATTCAAGTAACATCAACATAGCTATGTAGCTACTGATGCCTATGTTGTTACCCCAACAACCTAAGAAGATAGGCTGGCGAGGTCTGGACACACAAATCTGATCTGATCATTTACAAATAAAAGTGCGAACAGTCGTCTCAAAAGACCTGATTTGAGATTTGTGATAATGTAGATCAAGTTAATGATATTGCTTTTTGTGGTAATGCAGTTTTTTTCTCCTACAGGTGACAAACATCATATATCAGAGCTGAGGATTGTGCTGCTGGGATACAGATATGCTGGGAAGAGTTCAGCAGGAAACACCATCCTGAAAAGAGAAAAATTTGAGTTAAAGAGAACTGCTCAGTGTGTGAAGAGACAGAGAAAAGTAGCACGGAGACACATCACTGTGGTTGAAGCTCCAGGATGGTGGAGGAATGTACGTGTTGAAGGCAGTGATGAGCAAATTAAACAGGAGATTGTGCTCAGTGTGTCTCTGTGTCCTCCAGGACCTCACTGTCTGCTACTGGTCATACGTGTGGACTCTAAGTTAAAAACAAAACAGAGAAAAGCATTAGAGGGACACCTGGAACTTCTCGCTGATACAGTATGGAGTCACACTATAGTGCTGTTCACCTTTGGAGGCCGTCTGGGAGACACACCCATAGAGCAGCACATTGAAAGTGAAGGGAATGCCCTCCAGTGTCTGATTGAGAAATGTGGGAACAGGTATCATGTTCTCAACAATGAGAACAAGAATGATATCACTCAGGTCACAGAGCTGCTGGAGAAGATAGAGGAGATGGTGGCAGGAAATAACGGATACCATTTTGAAATGGGAAAAAATTTTATGGAAATGAGTGGGCCAGCAGAAAATTTGAGAACAAACAAACAGATAACGCCCAAGCAGAGAAAGAGGAAATCCAAGTCTACTACGAGTAAGTCACAAAATTATATATTTGTGTGTGTGTGTGTGTGTGTGTGTGAGAGAGAGAGAGAGAGAGAGAGCAAGACAGAGGGTGAATCTCAAATCTTCATGCTAAACAAACAAAACATGCTTTAATGAAGTATGTATGGCATGCAGAGAAAGAAACTCAGGCCTAAAAGCATGTACTGTTTTCATTTTACAAAGAAGAAATGCTGTGACACTATAAGGCCAAAAGTCTGTGGACACCCCTCCAAATAGTTGAGTTCAGGTATTTCAGCCACAGCCATTGTTTAAAGTCAAGCAAATGCCCATACAATCTTAGACAAACATTAGCAGCAGAATGGGTCATAGTGGTTCTGTGACTTCAAACATCATATGATGTTTAAAGGCACTATCATAGAATGCCACTTGCCAAAAGTCTATGAAATTCCTGCCCTGCTGGAGCTGCTCTGGTCAACTGTATGTGCTGTTGTGAATTGGAAGCGTACAATAACAACAACTCAGCCACGAAGCGGTAGACCACAAACTATCAGAGCGAGTCTGCCATGTACTGAATTGTGTAAAAATCACCCATTGTCTGTTGCCACACTCACTATGGAGTTCCAGACTGCCTTTGGAAGCAACATCAGCACAAAAATAGTGCATCAAGAGCTTCATGAAATAGGTTTCCTTGGACAAGCGGCTGCACACAAGCCTACGGTCACTGGTGGTGGAGGTTTGTAAGACATGCCACTGCTGAATCATACTTCACTATCTGGCAATCTGATAGACAAATATGGGTTGGTGAATGCCAAGGGAACACTACCTAGTGAATTGTGTAGTGCCAACAGTGAAATTGTTTATGTAGTGAGAGTTTGCATGACTGTGTAATTAATTCTTTTTCATGAACTATGTGTGGAAAATCCAAAACATGCTGTTTTCATTTCAAATTAAATATAAAATGATACCTGAAACACTGGGGTGATTTTCAGAGTAGTAAGATATTTCAATTTTGTGATAGGGACATGACCTTTGTGTTCAATTATCACAGGACCACCCTGTAGAAGGGGTGATATTGGAATATAAACCCAAACATCTCCCATATGGAAGGAAAACCAATCAGATTTGAGGACCAGATATGACAGGGACTGGGACTCTCCCAACATCTAAACCCTATAAGTCACAGCATCTCAAGTTTCTCTTTGAGTTGTGGGGGGGTGGGGGTTCTGACTTTCAACTTCTCATGGCCAAACAACTGAGTTAGACCATCTTGTGGGGTGCTCACAGTCAGGAGTGCTCAGTACCTACCAAGTGTGGCAAAAAGATGTTGGGCACCCAAGGCTCATTGATATACGAAGGCAACAAAGACTGTCTGGTCTGAACCAAAAAAGTGCTACTGTGGCACAAGTCAAATAAATTTTAACTTTTATTGGTTAAACACACCTTGCTGCATATAGGGCATGCTAACCCCTGTCCACCGTTGAAAGCACATGGAACATGACAAGTTTAAGACATTGCCCTGGCCTTGTAATTCCCCAGATCTCAATCCAATCGAGCATGTGTGCGATGTGCTAGAACAACCTTCAGAGGTCTTGTAGAGTCCATGCCTTGAGTTGAAGCTGTTTTGGCAGATGCAGAGGACGAACAGCATATTACACAGGTGGTCATAATGTGTCAGGTTCCTCGGTCTCTCTCTCTCTCTCTCTCTCTCTCTGCACACTCTATCTCAAAAGTCAGGAAACACCCATATAAAATGAAAACAGTTTGGCAGACGGTGATACAATTTTAGACACAAACTGTGGGGGAAGGGGGTCGGTGTGTGACACCTTAAACGAGTAGAGGATTTCACCAGAAGAACTTCGCTTCATTTCAATTTACCATAAGGTCTACAGAATGTATTTGATATGCTGTCCACCATGTTCGAGTGTTAAGGCTATCATTTTCTTCCATTCATGATGAACTTTCGCCAAAATATCTGGCTAAATGGCACCTGCGACCAATCCACTTCTGGGGAAACTGCACATCATGATAGTCTCTGACAACACGTCTGTAATGAGGTGGGGTGTCATCTTGGAAGAATTCAGGGAATGTTTCATCCTCTGACAATGATGAAGGAAACCCGTCTTCATCTAACAACCTTGTGTAACAGCTTGCTCTTAATCTTCCGTCAATAAAAAAAGGTCCCACAATTCGGGTATCCCAAACACCACATCATGACATCATATCATGACGCAACCGCATTAAATGATCAGTCCAGAGAGAGTTTGTTTCTGACCAGTATTGGTGATTCTGTTTGTTGACCTCACCATTCACGAAGAAATCTGCTTCGTTACTGAACAGCACCTGATAGGGAAAACGAGGGTTAACGTGAAGTTCCTGTGTCACCCATTCTGCAAATTCTATCCGACGGTCTGGGTCGTCCTCGGTCAGGTGTTGCAGCATCTGAATTTTGTAAGGGTACCTTTTATGAGTAAACAAAATTCATTGAATTGAGTTAACCCCACAGTTAACCCCACATTCCAGAGACAGATGAGGGATGCTATGGTGCGGGCTCTTGCTTAATTGAGGCCAGAACAGTGGTTGCAGTTGCTACATCAGTAGCGGTTTCTGGTCGTCAAGCTTTCGGTTTAGTGGTGACAGAACCTGTTTCTCGGAATTTGGCAAGAATTTTTGCAACTGCACTCTGGGTAATGAGAGGCCTGGTTGAAAACTTCTGCAATGACGTGTGCTTTGTTCACTGAAAATTATTTTATTTAATTCTCTACTCATTTGATGTGACACACACCTGTCTTCCCATTTGTAAAACTGAAGTTGAATCCAAGACGGTGGCATTCAAGATGGTCGCCATGGTGGTGACATGGCCTAACAGGTTTCCCCCTTGCCTACAGTTTGTGTCTAAACTTCTATCACTGCCTGCCAAACCATTTTCATTTCATATTGCTATTTCCTTAGCTTTGAGACACCTTGTGTGTTTCCTCAGCTTTGAGACCGTGTAACAAAAGTATTTGGACACCTACACATTACACCTACAGGAGCTTTTACGACATCCCATTTTAAATCCAAAGGCAGTAATATGGAGTTGGTCCAATCTTTGCAGCTATAACAGCTTCCACTCTTCTGGGAAGCTTTCTACAAGATTTTGGAGTGTCTGTAGGAATTGTTGCAAATTCATCCAGAAGAGCATTTGTGAGGTCAGACACTGATGGTGAACGAGAGGGCCTGGCTCACAATCTCCGTTCTAGTTCATCCTTAAGGTGTTTGATGGGGTTGAGATCAGGGCTCTGTGTGGGCCGGACAACTTCTTCCACACCAAACTCACCCAGCCATGACTTTATGGACCTTGCTTTGTGCACTGGGGCTCAGTCATGCTGGAACAGAAAAGGATCTTCCCCAAACTGTTGCCACAAAGTTAGAAGCGAACAGTTGTCCAAAATGTCTAGTTATGCTGAGGCAGTAAGATTTCCTTTCACTGGTACTAAGGGGTTCTAGGCCAACCTCTGAAAAACAACCCCCTATCATTATCCCCTCATCCACCAAACTTTACAGTTGGCACAGTGCAGTCAGGCAGGTAATGTTCTCCTGGCATTCACCAAACCCAGACTCGTCCATCAGACTGACAGATTGAGAAGCGTAATTTGTCACTCCACAGAGGTTTCCACTGCTCCGGAGTCCAGTGGGGGTCAGTGCACAGTTACTTTAAATTTGATTAATCTAAGCAACAGAAAAAGTAATTGTGGCATGTGCCAAGTGTGCACAAGTTTGTACACCCTTCCAGTTATAGAAAACTTAACTATCTCATTAGGACTGGTTAGATAGGTCAAGAATTGTCATTAGGAAATCGAGGGCATAATAAATTCTCTGCTTCTGCAAACCTTGTGCTAACATTTAACAACACTGGGCTCCTATAAGCAGTGGGCTGAGGATCTCTAAAGCAAAGTGATGCTTATAATGCAGGGTAAGACTATAAAACATATCAAAGTGCTTCCAGCACACAACTTCCCCTGTCAAATATATGTCATTAAGAAAAGGCAGTTATTGGGAACTGTGGAAGTTAGGACAAGGGGTAAAGAGAAGCAAGGCAGACTCTGAACAAGAACAGTGAAATCATTACACTACTGCAGGGACACAGAAAGGTGTTTTAAGTTGGGGGTGCAAAAATTTTAAGCAGCATATATGTGACATGACTGAAATCACAGAAAATTATTTATTTATTTTGCTCGTTTTCAATAAACGAAAAGTGTCATGTAGTGGTACAATGAGACCAGACTACTGCAGGTACTGCAGCCCCTTCATCACCCCCACTTCCTGCATCCCTGCACTAGTGTGCTTCAACCCAATGATCAATATATAGATCTTGCGTAAAAATTTCTATATAAATGTAAGCGGGGAGTAGTGCTTAGTAGGAATTATGTGTAATACCTAGTACGAGTTATGTGTAATACTTTATCTAGGAAGATCGAATAAGTGACAGGATCTGAGTTCCCACATGCGATGCTTTTAGTCTCTAAGCTTACCCATGTAAGTATGTTGGTACCTATCTTCCTGCAAGTGATGACCAAGGTTAGCTTTAGGAAACATCTGGATCACAGTATCAACCTGAAGTGTAAAGTGTAAGCTAGTCAGACCTAGCATTAGACCCACACTTCTTTAGCAAGAGATAAACAGCAAACAAATAAATAAAACCAAATTATTAAAGGATGATTTATAAGTGCTTTTTCTTTTAGCTTCAGCTCAGCCTTCACTTTGAACCAGGTAATATTTGTGCAATCAATACCAACACATAAAATAACAGAAATGACAGGTGGCAATGACCATGTAAAACTTCTGGATATAAGCTGTTATACAGTAATACCCTCAGCGTCTTTTCAGGATAACAAGAATTCAAGCGGCAAATAAAGCTGTCAAAATTTACCATGAAGTGCTTTCACTTCACGCAAAAACTTTTCATTCCTTTAACTGGTATAACAGTTTGAATCAACACAAAAAATGAGCAGCCACTACTCTTTAACAGCAAAAATATTAACTTTTCAATTCAACCGAAGAGTAGAAGTTACTCAGTGTCTGATAAAAAGTTGTAAAAGGAACTCAATTACCAGTCTGAAGCAGTGGGACTGATGCTGGAAGATGTCTTTGAATGGCAGGGTGAACTCTTCTTAAACGGAGCTTAAGAGAGTAAAGCTGCACCACATGTCCACAATACATTAACAGAAAATGGCGCCTGCTGCAACTCGCTTCTCTTTCAGCCCCAAGCAGCCACCCGCAGAATGTTCTCGAAGCACTCAATCCTCCACAGTACCCCAGAATGAATCACAAACCCTCTCCAGTGTCCGTGGAAGAACTAACAGTCCATCAGAACTACAAAACATGCTCCAGTAAGCCTCCAAAAACCGTTGAGCCAGTTTAAAAAACACACACACAACGAAAATCGGAGCAGCATTCACATCATCTTCCTCTCGCACAGCACACTTTCTTAGGCCCATCCACGAAGGCCACTGATATGCTACACGTTCATGGACAAACCATAACATAAATGCTTAGCTTCAAAGTGAAAACCCATCTCTATTTGTCCTCCGCACAAATAACATTATAATACAGCAAAAGGACCTTCTTAATGTACACATCACTGCAATATATGGTAAGACAGTTTTCACCATGGCTAAAAAGAAGACCCAACTGCACTTTGCATTTATCAACTGTTTACATGTAGCATCTTTTTAACAGTAGGAAAGTCATTCAGTTGTCAAGGCTTTTGTTGTAGCTCTCTAAAAATCTGCACTTCTATCCTTCAATGACATTCTATTAATCTAATTTTTAATGTAAAATTAATTTTTAATTTAATGTTTCATTTCTTCTCTTTGAAATCTATTGTTTTTAATCATGTTTTAATTGTGTTTTAGTTTCTATTTTCCTACATTTTTTAAATACGAATTTGAAGTATCTTTGTATTTTCTTATATGTAAAGCACTTTGTATCACCACAGTGTATGAGAGGTGCTACATAAATAACCTTGCCTTGCATTGTCTTCATAATTCCATAGTCCACTCCTTGAGCCAAATCAGATATTTCATTTATCATTCCCATGTAGCTGCTACAAAACAAAACTATAGAAAAGTTGCTGATACAATTGTTGAGCACCATGTCTGGGGAACAACTGTTTGAACCAAAAATAAATCATGTTGATTTTAGCATAAAAGTAAACATGAGGCTGCTTTTCAGACAGCTTTTTCTCAGCTTTGTCCTCACAAAGTAAGAACTAAGTCCAAGATTGCACCTTGAAGAAGGTCAAGAGCAGTATACAGCAATGGCAGCTGGTGGTCAAGTTTGGGTATTAAGCACTATGGTGAGGACACAATATACAATGGAGCATATCAGTGCTCAAGATGTATTTATCTTTGCGCATAAGGTTTTTTAATTGCACAGTCCCCATCTCCCACAGACCCCACACCCCTTCTGTAGCATTATGGGGAGAGTGAATTGGTGATTGGTGACAAACCAATAATCCTGCACCCGCCCCCCCCCTCACTCACCCTTTTGCACTGCCAACATGCCACTGAAACAGGCCATCCCTTTGCAACACCTGGTAAAATTTTCTAGAACCACCACACACCTTCTCTCATTCCAGACTGATGAAAATGTCCAAGACAAGCTTTTTGGCTCATATCATAATGGGGTGGAAAAAGTAAACAAAAGTAAAACAGAAATGACATATGCACTACTCTGCTTTTTACATGAGGAAAACTACAATTTGGCAATTACATCCGGTCACACTGGTGGTTAATTTTAGTGATATGTAAATGGAATCCAGTCAAAGTTTATCCAGATACAATCAGGACACCTAACATGTTAATGCAAGGTGTAAACATGTTCGTTAATATTCCTGTCTAATTTTTCCTGTCTTTTTTACTTTATTTCAGTTTCCGATGCTGAATTTGTGGATAAACACAGGGAACAGCTCATTCAGAGAGTTTCCTCGGTAAAGGAGATTGCAGACCACCTGATGGGGAAAATGACTAATGAAATATACAACAACATTGTAACTGCAACACCACATCAGCAGCAAATGAGGATGTTGTACGTACAAGTGCTAAACCCAGGAGGAGCAACTGTGAAAGCTGAATTCTATAGAATCCTAAAAATCAAGCAACCTTACATAGTGGAAGACCTGGAGGCTAGACCAGCAGGGCATTAGTGGACTTCAACCTATTAGTGGACTTCACACTATTGAACACACCAAACACCTCATTAGCTAATAACATATTTGTAATGTTTTAAACAGATGTGGGATTTATGAACATTAGCGGCATTACATCAGCCACTGCTACAATAAGAGATGCTCCATAGTGAGCTCATTTATCAACAAATACATTTGAAACTTTTCGTTTAAACTGATGTTAGCAGGTGCTGTAAGGTATCAGTCTGTGCCTGGGCCCTCTGTTAAGCTCACATTGGGAACAGGTAAGGCAAACAGACTCTCCTTGCTTTAGTAAGAACTGGCATTGCCTGTGCCTGGCCTTACTTAAGAAGAGCGCTTGGGTCTTATATGGTTAGCAAGTGTATTTGTATTACCTAACTCATGTATAACCTCATATATAACTCAGTTCTATATTTTGTATATGTTCATCGCAAATCAGTGTTTTTTTCTTGTATGATTATGGCCACATACAAAGAAAGAACACAAAACATATAAGGGACTCAAGCAAATTCCATATATGAATATTCGGTAAGACAAGTATTAGCATAATACATTAGTAATATGGTGAGAAATGTTTTTAGAATGGTATGATGAAAGATGTAAGATTTATCCACAGTTTGTATATTATCCCTATATTTTATTTACAGTCAATTTCATAATTTCAGTTTTAAACATGTTCTTGAGGGTCTGGTATTCAATTTTTGTATTAGTGCCTATAAAGTTACTGCACTAGTTCTATATTATTCACAGAGATTTTTATTTACCTTACATTTCCATAAATATTACACGATATTGTGTATAAACATACTGCATTACAGTGACACAGTGACAAAAAAGCTTTAACTTGGTGTCCAGCTTAAAGATACCAATATCAGTTAATAAAAAAAATCTTCATCCCAAAGTAGTAGTTTCTTGAAGAAACAATAATCTGCTTCATCAAGGGTGGCGCCACACCTCCAAAAGTGGTGTCTTAAGTGATTCAACTTATTAACTTTCAGTAAAATATATATATATAGTTAAAAACAGAACTGAATCAGAAGCTCATACTCTAGAAGTTCTTTGAGTGAGCAGAAAGATGAAGCATTGGTGGCTGCACTGAAATCACCACAAGGAATGTTGTGTCTTAATGGTTGCAGTAAGACGTTTTCATAGTGTTAGTTTAATCGTAATGTGTCAAATCTAGTGATGGCAAGAACAGGGCTTCTGAGAACTTGAAGCAACTTCATAATAGAACCATTTTCATAATAGTGGTAAGAAACATTCTGACATCAAATATTCAGCCTCCTTGTCTATATTATATATGCGTTGATGGTTGTTTGTGTGAAGCAAAGTTAAAGATATTTAATTAAAATTCAGTTTCTCAATTGAACTAAATAGATCCATGGAAAACATGCATCATTGTGAAAAAGCACAGGAAGATGCCCTTTTAGAAAAATGTTGAATAATCATTTATATCCATGTCAATGTGTTCATATGCTGGATTTTTACCTACTATACGATTAAGTTATGGGGAGAGCTTGAATGTGCATTTTTTGTTATTAAACAATTCACTTATTTTTTTATAAGGAAGCATCTGTTCCGCTGTGCTAAATTAATTGTTTGTATAATAATAATAATAATAATAATAATAATAATAATAATAATAATTTGGTGAAGTGACCAGCTAGTTAGGTAACTTAATTTTAATGTTCAAAAATAAACTGCGTTTACAACACTGTCAGCACAAAAATAAAATGTCTAAAAACTGACAGTTTTGGAAACCCTGTTAACTTTAATCACACCAGTGAAAAGGTTCAGCCACTGTGGGTTAAAGTGGTGATGTTAGGGGTTCATGCCGGGTGAGGAGGAGGCTTGAGTGAGTGGATTGAGCCTCCAAGTGAGTTAAATCTAGAACTGTCATCTTCTTTATCTGCTGTTGTTCGGACTGTTATGACTCTGAGGACGTGTCCCACATTATGACTGGGAGACTGATGCTGATTCCTAAAGCCACAGTAATAGATGACCTTGAAAATCTTCCACATTATTCCTTTTATTAAGCCTAATTCACGCCTTGAATTGGAGTATCTCCAACTGAACTGACCTGTTGTTTGTATTTTTCATATGGATGTTAAGTTTTTACGTTTCTACTAGTTCTACACTAGTTACACCACCAGCATTTTAAAATGCAAGTTTGCCAACATGCTTGAAAAAAGTCAAAGAAACTTCTTGTTGTCTTAAATTATAAATAATAATCTCCAAATGTTTATTCTTCAAACTCCTGACCGTATTTTAGTCAAGCTTACTTGAAAGTCTGAAGGCAGTTGGTTTACTGAAATTTTCCAAGTAATGTGAGTAACACTAAGGGAAATGTCCTTTTTTGAGTACTGTCCACTTGAAGACCACTTAAACACAGCCTGAATCATTCAAACTGACCTTTAACTGACTTTTTAATGTTGAGCAGATCTCAGGTTGGCTTCCATAACATTCCACCCTTTCTATACAAAGATCTATTAAGATTTACAAGCTTGTGATGTGGTGAGTTTTACACTCTATCACCAGCCCTGATACATTCTAGAGACTGGTAGTAATGTTACTTACCTCTATTCCTTTGATGTGCATCCTTTAGAGGATGTCGGCGAGAGCTGGGGCTCCTCTTATCCTAGTCGGACGGATCCACCTACGTAGGGAGGGGGGTCCACTCTTGTGCAAGTCCTGTAAAGAAAAAGAAACAGTTAGAGGGATCATGATCTTTATAAGTAATATTATTATACTTACCAGTAAAACTGTCATGGTTGCAACCAGGTGTATGTTGTTACTGTACTGTATGTGTTTTGTGTGTGTGTGTATTAGTTATGTACCCCAGGGTTGGGGTTTGGTGTAGGCTGGGGCAGAGCTTAGAGTACAAGAGCTCCAGGTCAGCCATTCAGAAAGAGGTCTCACTTGTACTCACCCGTGTAGCTCGAGTTAGCTTGTGTTAGAGGTGTGTGGAGTTCCAGCCTCGCAGCTGTTACTCAAACCTACTAAATATCCATCCATCCATCCATCATCTAAACTGCTTATCCCTCTGGGTTGTGGTGGGGTGCTGGAGCCTATCCCAGCTGTCAATGGGCGGAAGGCAGGATACACCCTGGACAGGTCGCCAGTCCATCACAGGGCAGACAGACAGACATACACATTCACACTCACACACACTCACACCTAGGGGCAATTTAGCATGTCCAATCAGCCTGACTGCATGTCTTTGGACTGTGGGAGGAAACCGGAGTACCCGGAGGAAACCCACGCAGACACGGGGAGAACAGGCAAACTCCACACAGAAATGACCCTGGTCACCCGGCCAGGAATTGAACCCAGGCCATTCTTGCTGTGAGGCGACAGCGCTACCCACTGCTCCACCGTCCCGCGCCACCGTCCCGCCCTCCCTACTAAATATTGTATATATTATTGTATTTTCTTTCCATTTTGTTCAGTGTTTTGTTTGTTTATGTCCTGTCGTTTAATAAAATCGCTTCTTGCACATATTTGGAGTCATCACGTTAGTAAGCGCTGGCCCACCCACACATACCTGAACCACGAAGCCCACAAGGAACCAAAATCCTCCACCCGGGTGGTATCACCATCTAACAGAGCTAATTTGGAATGTTTTAAGTAAAGTTATAATATTACAAGTAAAAATATCATTATTCAGATAATAAGTAATTTTGAGATTTTATGGCATACGAGTCTTTTTAGTGGTCTTTGATCTAAAACATGGCATAAATACTTGTTGGTGGTCTTTGATTGAACACATTTCATGAGTATTTGTATTACCTATAATCTAACATCTGGCAAACATGTTTGCTAATAACCTTTTGAACTAACACAAGGCTTTTTAACATTGTCCTTACCTGACATATGATGTTTGATCTTACACATAAACCTTGATCTAAAACAGAGCCCAGATAATCACTAAAAGTCTTTAAATTGATGGTTGGCCTTTGATTTGATACCATAGCGTTTGATCCATAATGTCATAAATATTTGCTGGTATGTTTTGATTTAACATGAATGATCATGTAATCACAGATTTCTCCTGTGTTAGTGAACTAAATGTCAAATCCATGTGCATGTTTGAGTTTGAGTGGTGGCATTTTTTCCCTTTAGGGGACCGCTATGATCTGCTGCCCTCTAGTGACCATAGTGTGAAATGCAGATTGGTCATGAGTTTTCCAGTGAAAAAATAACTTAATTTTGCCATGTTTACTAATACAGTCACCAGCTGTAATGTTCTGGACCCTTTATTTGATTTTATTCTGAATTGTATAGTCAGACTGCAGTGGGATACAGGTTTTGGAGAGTTTATTGATTGATGTTTCTGCTGATCTACTTCTGCACTTATATCCCCTTTGGTTAGGCCTATTGAAAGAAAATGGTGTCCTCTTATTTGCATTTATTGAGTCAGACATAAGGAAGTTGTTGTGGCTGTGTTTATCATTGTTCTGCAGTGCAATGCTAAAGTAATAGTGCTTTTATAGTTGTCCATAAAGTCCTTTCACAAAGCACTGAAGTCTTTAGCAGTGAAAAGCTAAACTCTGGGAAAAGAAATGTATTGTGGCAGATGGGTTTAGTCCTGTCTCGTCTCCCTTTGCCTTAAAAAAGACCTTCGGTGAAGGACCTACTTTTGCTTATTTCTTTGCATTGTCATTGGCTGGGAGACACATAAGAAAGAATAATTTGCACATTATTTTTTGGTATTTTCACAACCAAGTTGGGATTTTTGTGGTGTCCATATAACAAATCATGTTCTTGAACCTTTACAGGAATATAACAAATGACTTACACCAGTCTGCTTACTCTTCTACATCTGAAGCATGTACTGTATTCTGAAGTTTTCTACATGGTGATTAAGCCTAGTTTCATATCACAGATTCTTTCAGTACAAACAGGGACTTTTGCTCTTAGTTCTCTTGTATAATTTTCAGTTTTAAAAATGATGAAAAAAGCCTTGTGGGATTAATATACAAAAACTATATATATATATATATATGCATATGACCGCTCTTATCGCTGGATGTGTTTGTTTTTCATATTGAATAATGACTGATGATGTAAGTTTACTCTATGGCAGTTGTAATCATTTACACATTTGCTTTTGGTGGCATTAGTTGTTTTAAAATGTTAAGATCTGCATGTTAATCCTATACAATATTGTGTTGTAAAAAATCCAACTGTTGTTAGGCAAATATTAAAAATACAGTTGGCCCAACTTTCTCATGATTTAACTGACTTAACTGTACTGTACTGAGTTTATGTCTGATTCATAGCGGACACGCTGCATCAGCTGACAATTTCAAGTTGATGTAATGTTTTTATATGAGTTCTAATAACTGGGCGGGTCTGCTGTTCAGCAAACTGACCCAGTAGCGTCCAACTGATTTTCACAGAGCTACACAACAGAGTATATCAAACCCAGTGTACAAAACCACTCATAGAAATATTTATTGCTGCCAAACTTAACAGCTATTAATGTTGGCAAACCCTGTTTTAGTTTATGTTGTACATTCTCTACAATCTCAGAAAAAAGGTACGAAACTGTCACTGGGGCAGTGCCCCTTTTGTCACTGGGGTGGTTCCCTGAAGTGTCCATCTCAGTACCTTTAGTCAGGGAACATAACTGTACCATAATCCACTAAAATTATATTGTTGTATTGACTCCATACACCCTGTCTCGTCTCCAGGCTTTTTATTTCATTGTTCTGTTTTAAAACATTGGGTTATGAAAAGGTACAAACACATACTTTTCACTCGGAAAAGCTTATTTAAGGTGCACAATTGGACCTTAAAACCACTGTTGTATCTCTGAGGAAACATTTACATTGTTTATACCTTGATGAACAAAAAAATGCACCTGCACAGAACCTTTATTTCTAACAGTGAACAGTTGGACTAAGTATATT